TATATATAAAGTATATCGGGTGTACTTTGAAATGCCATATTGGTCAGTAAAAATGTAATCTGAAATGTGTTATTTCATAGAGACTTGGAGCTGGTGAAAAATAGTGACTGAATTTCACCCTCTGATAGACTGAGACTTCAGATTAGATTTAAATTAGACTCAAACCTGGATGTAATTCAGTAGGCGAACTGGTTGAAGTTTATAAACCATCCAAAGGGAATGAAAATTAATTGAATGACTGCCTGGAGTGTATCAGATGAGTACTGATAACTCATTTCTCTGCCCTCTGTTTCAAGATGCTAGCATAATCCTTGAAAGCAAAGTAGACTACACTAAATAGTATCTGAAAAGTCCTTATCAGTTGCCAGAAGCATTAGACTGAAATGTATTTTCCGCAACTGAAGTTGTCAGGTGGTTCTCTAAAGCAAAAGGGGAATGAACACTGAAGAGTTTAATCTTTGCTTTGATGCACTGTAAATTGAGGAGGGTTTTGAGGTACATGAGCAGGTGTACAAGAAACCGTCAGGAAAAGCCCATTAATGCCTCTAATATAGCCTCAAATTAAGATCAAAGTAACTGTTAAATACTGAGGCCTAATGAGAAACCTGGAATGCTATCAGCTCAGCTCTCTAACTCTCTAGTTATTATTTTATATTAAAGAAAAATCGCAGCAGCAATAGACAAGCAGTTTGCAACTGAATAGCCTCTTTTACCTCATCTCAAACGGCTTAAAAAGGATTAATAAAGCCTTATGATATATTGACAAAGTAGACAGCTATTATTCATTATAAAAACTTAAACAAATGCAGACCTAAATTTATTCATCCAAAGTAACCGCTTCATAAGACAACAGGGGTAGAAAAGCAGAACCTCTAATTCCAGTCTGCGTGAGAACCTGTGTGCTATGGTCCGTCATGGCACAATCACTATCACTGGACGGTAAACCTCTTTACTACACAGCACTACACTACTACGTCCCACTCACAGTTCAGCATTTACCATGACCACTGCAGTCACTCCAGGAGTTCTCAGGATCAGCCTCTCAATTGTGAAATCTTTTCCAAATATAGCAAAAAAAAATAAATGGTGGATTCAAACTTTGGTCAGAGCCATAAACAAGATGTTTCATTCGGTAGATGTTACCACAAAACACACACATATTTTCATTTTCTACAAATAACAAACTTGTTAACAATATTTGCATCTATAGTGCATAACATTTTCACTTACAAACTCTTCATTTTGAAAGGATGGATGTTAATAGTAATTGTTTACTAACCTTTGCCAGGTCCACCAAAGTGTTAGCTTGATCATTCAGTTTCCTTTGTTCCATTTTTACACTTCTTAATCTAAAAAGTGGAATTTTAAGTCAGATTTTTTTTTGTATGTGTATGTAGTCATATTAGGATTTCTAAAAAGCATGCACAAAACTTACAAGAGCAAGTTACTGCATGGACAATGCCTTCAGTACTTTGTGTAAAGTCAGAATTGGTCATGTGCCTGCTACAATGAGAAGCATGCTTCTTCAACACCGCAAAGAAGAAAAGAGCAAGGAAATGTGATGTCCTTGAGATTACCATTTGCCATGGTCAAAGTTGAATTCAAAAAGGGAGATAACCATTTATCCAGGCTATATGAAAGAAAGCCAAAACATTCCTCAAAGCCTCAGTATCGTGACAAGTAGATATAGGAAGAAACATAGAACAACTGTTTTTGTCATTAATGTTGTAGCAATCAAGAATCTTCCCATGCCTACATGACTAGATACAGGTATTAGCCCTGTTCTGTCGGAAATGGATTGGGTTAGCAGGTGTTTGAACCTGATGGAAATACAGTGATAAGTGAGTTTCTCATTACTTTAAACAGAACTTCCATCTGACCAGCAGCTAAATAACCAACATACTTGCCAATACATTTGATTTTCTTACATAATTTCTGATTCTAAATATGATTACATTTTGAACATACATTAGACATTCCTTTTCAATGTTCTATTAGAACTACAGCATTGAAAAACCATGAAAGAAGTAGCAAGTCTATATTTTTCTTTTTGATGCCTACCTATCTGCATTATTATTAATTCTGCACATTCTTTGAAAGATATATACATGACTTTTCTTAGGTGTTCCCTGAAACAAAGTCCATGTTTTTCTGATAAACTACCAGAGGAGTGGTTTGCAGACGCAATTTTCACAAATAACCCATTTCTCACTTAAGTATGAGTCATTTGTTGAACATTTCACAACAGAGAAATACTTAGACTTTCAATGACTTCTCTGGTGGCTGTTCTAAGCAGGAAATAGCATTTTTCAAAAACAACATATCAATTTATAAACAATGTGTGATAAGATACCATGCAGTCTACTAGTGTGTCAAGGGCCAACCAAGTCAACCATTTGGTTAGCTGTCAAACCAAAACAAGTTTGGCAGCATTTTGTGGCAGGTGGGTTGCTAATGCATACTCTGCCTATTTCTCAGTGATGGTGTTACTTGTAAAGCTAGTTTAAAGAAAGCCGCCTTGGAGATATTCCAAAATCAGGAAGCTTCTGTTCATATCTTTAGCTACTGAGCACCTCCTCTCACATCTAGGCTAACCACTATGAAAAAATAAGTTGTGAAGTATCTTTTAAAACACATGGAAATAACTCTGTTAAGGTAGAAGTCAATTGTCCACATAAAATTGACATTCCAGAGGCTTGTTACTGGAATGTCATACACACTTTTTCCCCTGGAGGCTTCCTTCAAAGCACAACGTAAACGCAGTCTATGGGAATGGTGCTTTCAGAGGCTATGAGCTGGAGCTGTTCAAAAGCAAAAAATATGGAGGAGTCTCCAAGCTATGGAGTTATGTCATTATAGTCTCAAAACAGAATAATTACTGAAAGGTAAGCATGTGATGATTTGACTGGAGAATGATAACCTAGTGTTTTGGTAAGCATCTCTCAAATAACTTGCAGACTATATGCTTTCTGCTTAAGATCTATTGACTCATCTATTTGCTAGTTAGTATTTTAATCTTAAAATTCCAAGAAATCCATTGTTATTGTAGAAATATAAGTACCAGCTGACACCAACATGATAATTCCTCATGGTAACCAACCCAATACTGATCACAGACTGTAAAAATGTATCCCTAGGTAATGGCAAGTCTTTAGCTGCAACAGCCAGATTTAAAGAAAACTGTCAGACTTTCATTCCTAAATTCATTAAGAGAAAATATGGAACATCTTGATTTTATGAACTTCACTTATCACAGCAAAAGATCATGATTCTGGATCGCATTTCCATGGCAGCAATCAGACCACTGAAGTTCACAAATAAAGACTCTATTTTTTGCATGCAGACAGTGGTAAATTCTGCATATTTAGAAAGGAACAGCTTATACAACTTACTTCCGAGCTCTATTTTCATTTTGTTGAAATAAAAAGACAAAACAAAAGAAAACAAACTGTAAAATATACTAAAACAACCAAATGAGCACAGTGGGCTCGATTATGCAGGTGGGAGGTCCTAGGGAGTTGCTACTTCTTTTAATCAGTAACTGCCTGAGGTGGAGTCTAACTCACTTGCATTCCTGATGAAGGAACCTGCAATAACTTCAATCCTTCGTATTAACTATCATCTCTAGATTTTCTTAATCATACAATACATAAAATGCCTTTTAATAGTACTGCTTGGAGTAATGATTTCACCTTCATCTTATTTAGTGTGCTTGAGAAGCAAAAAAAGACCCAGACCAGCTGAAGGCAGTTTTAGAGCTGTGACTGTGAATTTGAGACTGTTAGCATGATCTGCTCTGGTTTCTTGTAAAAAAACTGGCCCTGAAACTTCACTCCTTTCATTTCTGTCTCCAGTGAAACAGTTGGGAAGGTGAAGGAAGAGGACCAATAAAAACCTAAGAATCCAGAAAGATGGAAGAGAGCGATATACTACCATGAGTCACTTAAAAGTTCAAAGATTTGAAGGGAATAAAAGTAATTTGCACCCATCTACTCTGCTACAACTGGAAGAAAGCAAACTGCTAGACCAATTATTTTCAACCACAGCACATTGTTCAGCATATCGAGAAAATCATCTGGTTTTTTTATTTTGGTTTTTTACTTAAACACAAAAGTTTTGGGAATGGGATGCAAAACGCTAAAGGACAGAGGGAAATGCGTTACTAACATAGCTGTTCAAAATTTGGCTGGCACAACTAGGAAAAAATTACTGCTGCCACCTTCTTCACCCCACCTGATTAATGAATTTTTAAGGCATCTGCAGCACAAAACTTTACATCCTGTGAAGCAATTCTGGGCTTGAATGATATACAAAGCTGCAGATCGAGCCTGCTGTGCTTTTTAGATTCTTCTGTGAACATGTGTGTGCACACACATGCACAGAGACATACACACACACACAGACACACAAAATAAACAGCAAAGTTAAAATGTTAAGGAATAACCTTTGCAACCAAGGATTCAAGTCCAGCAAAGGATGCACAGGACATGCCATCCTCTGTCCCAGAACCCCTGCCACTCTTCTCCACCTCCCAATCCTTTAAGCTAAGCAGGATGACCAAACTGGGAAAATACACTTTTTATATCCACAAAAAAATGCCTCAACTTTTGTCATCTTTTTATTCCTTCAGGTATTTCTCCAGTAGCACAGTAATATTTAATCCTGCAAGTTTGCTAAACATAATATAGTAAGCAAGGTTTATAGAACACTTCATACCTTAAGCTCAGCTACCCATTGCTTTAAAACATTGCTATGAAACAGAGAAACAAGGACTGTTAGCCCAGATTTACTAACAGAAAATATGATAATCTGGCCTTTCCTTCCCGTATTTCATGCAAGATGACACACAGGTGTTCTTTTCATGATGGATGCTTCCCTCACATCTCCTCACAGGTTGGCTCAGACACAGACCACACTCAAAAGCTATCAAAACATCAGTTCAAAATTAAACTTACTTAATTTATCTACATCTTCCTAGTATCTCATGGGAACTAAATTCATAGGCTGTACAAATGGCTGCCTCAGGCTGGATGGGCTACATTGAATAGAGCAGACAAATAGTGGCATGGGTCCTGACGATTCCTCAAGAAGAATCTGTGGTTCCTGGGGACAAAAGTCTCTTTTTCTCTCCCATGTAGTCCAAGGAAGAGTAACTGACTGAATCATTGTGCAATTCTGCTGGTTTTGATGTGCTTTATGACAAATACGTATTATGAATTTTAGACAAATACCTGTAGTCTGGTAACATCATAATTCAGCTTAATCCTACTACTGGTTACAGTTCTCAGGCTTGTTTTCAACCTCTTAAGATTTCAGTAGAGGGGAAGAACTCATCTGAATCATGCCAGAGGTGCTCAAAGGTCACACAATGACTGTTGGCATACACTCCCATTTTCTAGAACGGATGTCAGGGGTGATAGCTGACATACCAACATTTGATTTTATGCACTGAGAATATATGGTGGAGAGAGGCAACTAACTGCTGTTGGGCTGTACAATGATGCTTGATGCATATTCTTTTCATTAAACACTACAGACATACTCATAGGCTGTCTTCTATCACATCATTCTGATTTTAAGTTATTAAACCAGCTACTACAAATGAAACTTTTTTCATTTTCTTCTGTCTATTGTAGCTTGTACCTTACTACCTGTAAGCAACTAGGGAACAAAGGATAGTCTCAGTGGCAAAACACACACAAAAAAAAGTCTTAGTTAATTCAAGAAGCATGGGAAACTTCCTTCTAAAAAAAAATATAAGCAAGTTTGATTTATCCAATACTGGATATATACAGCCAGCATTCTTTTTTATTTTTTTGTGAACAGGTAATACAGTAAAACCTTATCTTTGTCTTATTCTTAGAGAAAAATTAACCTAAAGAGCAATGTTCTATGAAGGGGAAGACAGAGAGGGGGTGGGAGAGAAGGGAGCAGGCAGGACAGGACACAAGGACTAAGAGTGACTATGAGGGAGAGGGAAACTAAGAGAGAAAACCCTTGGGAGAGGAAAACCAAAGCAAAATAGTACTTACTGATGAATAGCTTGCAAGAATTTGCGTTGATGTTTCCTTACTTTCGCATGGTCTATCTTTTTAACCAGCTTTGTGTTTTTATAAATTAACCATGTTTCCCTGAGTACATTGGCCGCTGCATTTTTCACCTGTTTAACAAAAGAAAAAGACCAGGCTGACAAAAGTAGCATTAGTAGCAATTATGTAATGTTGTCTCTTTTCTCATATAAACTCTTTCTAAAGCACTTAAGATGCTTCCTAACCGTGGGAAATGGGTACACCAAGAAGCTGCAGCACTGAGGGCAAAAAGCAATAACTAGACCAAGGGGACTGCTGCGCAATTTCCATGTTACTTATAAACATGATATTGAGACCAGCTTTCTTTGCACTGAGGAATAATTTGTCCCTCTTTAAAGGGTTAGCACCATTTGGTGTTCATGGCAATATAAATTACAGTGAGGAAATACTAATGCATTATCTGTATGGTAATTAACTAATTGTATTTAATAAGATCATAAAATTTCTCTCTCTCTTTTCCTATGGTTAGTTCCTCTTAATTCTCTTAGCAATTTAACAGTCTTTTAAATTTCCAAAGCTGTTTGAACACACTTTTTTTCTGTTTACATTTTTATTCTTGTTTTTTTTTACCATTCTCCAAGGAAATGAAAAAATATCTTGTCAATTAATGTGGCCAGTGTTCTATTTCATAAGTGCTTTGAATTTATTTTTTCAGTGAGGCTTTCCATAAAATGTTAAAGGTAAGAGTATCTACAGTTCCTTCTTAGGCCCATCAAAATTTTCAAGAATGCTTGAAAACAACAGACAAAGAATTTCAATGCAATGTTGATTAACGACAGAATGACTAGGTTACTTGCAAAGGAAAACTGTCCTTATTATTAATCTTTATTCTC